ACAATTCTAGTCAGATTTGTTATATTCATTTACATGAAAATACTCTTGGAAAAAGTATGAATCCACCTCTTCTGACCCCAAGCTATGGGTTAATTAGTAGGACTTGTATCAGTAAAATCATTATTATCTCTAAAACAATTTTTACAATCTAAAAATATTTTCTGGCTTTAAATAACCTGCAAAAGATTGATAAGCTGTAAAAAAAACAAATCAATCAATAACATCATTATTGTAGTTTGTTAATATATGCTGGATTAGTTATTGCAATTATTAATTTTTAGGTTAGTTTTTATTTTTGTTATAATGCTTAAGTCATATTACATTCTCTATCATTTAAGCAACTAAAATGGATCAAAAATAAATAATTAGCTTCCAACAATATTTCAACTTACATCTCTTATCCTTAGGAGACAATTTGCCTTGAACAGTGTCTTATCAATTAAGCCATAAAAGCTAAGATATCATTAAAATGTAGTCATGTAGATAAAGTCATTATTCAATATATACTCTATGTCTTATTATTTGTATACACCTAGTAGAAGTAGATGTAATAATTTTATCTAAATTTCTTAGATAAAACACTGTCATTATTAATATCCTGAGTATTCTTTATGCTGTTTGGTGTATCACTCTATGTGAAATTACTGTTTGCCACCTCAACTCATTATACAAATTGATTAAAAAAAAATTGGTTATTTTCTAGGTAAGCTTCTTTGAATATTTTTGATCACATAAAACTCCAACTTGTCTTACTCAATTTTCTACTGTAAACTGGCATCTCCTCTTACATTTTCATAGTGAAATCATTATTTTTCTTTAAATAACATATTTAATGGTTTATAAAACATACAGCATATAAGATGTCCCCTCCCTTTCCATTTTAGCAGGGAAAACAAGGAAAAAATTGTTTGTTGGTAAATCAAACATTACTGAAACTTGATTTTTGTACCATAATTGGCCCAAATACAGTAGTTATAAATAAAGGCAGATTTTGGAAATATTTCAGAAATTGCAAGAATTCTTAGAGTTTTTTAAAATTCTTTTTTGTAATGTCTTCATTATCAATTTATCTGATGAAGTGAAAAACAGTTAATTTTTTCTCCAGATATGACATTTTCCAAATGCTATTTTAATTGTAAAAAAAATAAATAAATAAATAAGCCAAAATGTTTTATCTATTTTAATTCGAACCCATTTTTGGAACTTATGATTCAGACATGAAAGATTTTCAAAAATTGAAATCTTTTTAAAGATTTTTTTTTCTTGCATAGTTTTGATCCAGATTTGTTGTAAGTTTTTTATGTCTTTTTTTTTTATTTCATCAACAATTTTCAAACAAGTGCAAAATCCAAAAAAATAAATTATTTTTAAACTCCTGAAGTGTAGGTTTTAAGCTTTTTTTTTTTCTTTTTTTCTATATTTATTTTTTGGTGGTGGACTCCTAGTAACTTCAGAAATAAGCACCACCTATAGCATGTATATCTTTGAGTGAAGCTACTCTCATAAGTTAATTTTCATTTCTGAAGATCTTGTAATTTTGACTGGACATAAGCAAACAATTCTTAACATTATAATATATTATCAGTATATGTTGACATTCTAAGGGTTATTTATAGAAAATGATAAATAATAATTACTTTAATCTTTTTTTCATTAAGCTGATTTTGTCAGATTTTTTAAAATTTAAAAGCCTACAAAGGGATGCTGAAAATATCTCAATCTAACCCATTTCCTGGTCAAATAACCAAACACCAGAATTTTTTTTTTTCTTTGCTTGGGTTGAAAACTTTTCAGTACACCCTTGTGCATATACATTAGTTAAACCTAAGGCATCTAGAATAAACAGGCATTAAATATATGTCTACTTTGAATAAGACAAATATTTCAGTTCATATTCTATTATTGTTTAAATTATCATTTCCTCAAAATTCAGAATAAATCCTTTTTGCAAAACTGCTAGAAATATTTTTTTTGTTTAATCCTGATCTATATTTTGTAACTACCTTCTGGTTTAAAGGTCTCTTTTATGTAAGGATCCTGTAGTTTTGACTTTTTTTTTTAATAATTAATTTGGGTTCAGTTCTTGTATTTGTACAATTTTAAAAACATGAGGATAAGAAAAATAGATAACAGAATTTCAATCATTATAGGTTTCCTACTATAGTCAAAGTTAGCGAATAAAAACTAACCAATTGTTAATCTACTTAATGCAGAAATATTCTTGTATGTAACATCATGTGAAATAAGTCTGATTACAGAATCTTAGTCATTTTAAATTTGGTATTCCATTAAATATCATATGATCTCTGGTTTTAAAGAGGACACATTTATACAAGATTAGCAAGGTATATGTTCTATGATAGAATAATATGAATCTTGTTGAGTTTTTGTTTTTGATTTGGTATCCTGTCAGTATTTCTGTATGCTCAATGGATTTTTGGTTATGTTCTTACATAACCAAAAATCCATTGAGCATACAGAAATACAGAAAATTATTCGTATAGAAAGTATAAATCGTTTTCTTTCTCTTTCCTGAGAGGCAAAAGTTACATACACAAATATTAAGTAATCAAAGGTAGAGTTTTTAATATTCTTACATTACAATATCAAAATAATTTTTTTTAATGTAAGGTAATAGAAATAGTTGGATGTATGTAACTCTGTTATAATGGTTTTATTTTTATAGCATGATTGACAGACAATTTTTGTACTAGGTGTGTTTAGAGTATTGTGTAAAAATCCTTTAGCCATGGTTCTCTTTATCTATTTTTTTTTTTTTTTTCCAATTAAAGAAACATTTTGATATCTTTACTGGTTCATGAAAATTTCTACATGTATATGTTAATCTGCATAACGTTTTTGGTTGATACAGTTATTCATGTATAACCAATGTTCATTAATTCAGTCTCTGTGCTGATGCATTTTGTTTAGCTTAATGAACCAATTTATTTCAAAATTTTTTAAAAAGGGATTTGAAGTCCGGGTGAGTGCATGGGGAATATTTTATTTCCTTTGGTAAAATATTTTGACCATAACTCAAAATAATGAAAAATAGAGTATTTCTTTTCTTGTTAACTCTGTTTAAAGAGATTTTAACAATTACTTCTTTTTTTGTTTAGACAATAAGTATTTAAAGTTTAGGGTGGGAGGAAAATGAATCAAACAGTATAAAAGGATAATATGAGTTGAATATTTATTGATTATAGTTTTTGTGCATATTAGTTATTATCTACTAAATATTTCCTTTTTATTCCTATTTAAGTCTGTTACTAATATTATGGTATTTTGTTTAATTTTATTGAAATGTATTTCATGTAGTGTTAATACCTGACTTTTTAGAGAGAGGAGTAGAATTTTAATCATAAAAAAGGTGGTGTATGAAATAATGCTCAAATAATAGTGGTACTCAGTATGAAAATTTATATTTAATTCATGAGCATTCTTCTATTAAAATTGATTTTTAACATAGTTTTATTTTTCCTTTTTGCTTCCTATTAAACTTTTCAGTCTTTTGTGTCTGTCTATATTTCTGAGATGAGGTATTATGTACATTATTTACATTATTCGGACTATTGTCCTCATCTTTGTCGCCATATTTATTACAACGTTTTTGCCGTTGTATGCTCCGGCCTTCTTCAGGTGGTTGGAATGTCAAACTGAACCCTTTATTTCGCTCACTGGGGTAGACTGTTTTATCTTTTATTACTGAAGTTGAAATACCAATTGTATTTTAAAGAAAACTATATGTGAGAGAGAGAAATAACATCCTTTATATCACATTATATAAGAGAAATATTTTAAAAACTTTTTAAAATGAGTCTGTCACTTATATGAGTTAATGAGTTTCTTTACATATATATATATATATATACACACACACACACACACACACTGACTACTGACAACAAAATGGTTATGTGCACACATATACACACATAAGAGGGTGCTGAAAATTTTTTTAAAATCTGGTGAAATATCTGAAATCTTTTAGAATCTCTCTTCAGTACCTTATTTGTGTGTGTGTGTATATATATATATATATATATATATATATATATATATATATATATAAACTTAAAGCATCTTGTTTGTGACATGTAATGCTCAGAAACATCTTGTCCAAGAGAGCCTGATTGGTGGCCTCGGGGAGTGCTTGTGACCCTCATTATCTTATCAGCATTTGCTTTTTTTCTGTCTACATTTATATACATTATAAATTAAACTAAGAACAATTATTAAAGGATGAAAAAATTTTGTGGATTTTGACATCATTTTTTTTTTGTACAAATCCATGCTAAGTCTTGAAATAATACGTGATATAAAATTCACTATTTTTTATCCATAATGTTGAATGTGTTAAAGTTCAACTTTTTAAGAAAAAAAATCTTAAGTTGATGTTAAAAATTGCCCCAAAATATTGTTGATTTGTTTAGGATTGGATGATCTATTATGACACATCTCTAATTTGTATTTAGATACATTGTATTTATATGAATACTACCTTAAGAAAATTGAGATATAGTAGAGTGAAAGGCCCCTTATCATAGATTTGGGAGGCGGGGTATCATAGATTTCAGGGGTGGGATCATGAGACCTTTGCACCAGCCCTGAATCTGATTTTTAAATCTTTTTTTTTTATTGCCCATAACTTTTACTCCAAAATAGCTGTTAATACTCATTTAATTTATAAAAACTGTTAGCCACCATTGTTTCAAACTCTTCATAGTTTATATTACTTTTCTTGTGAATAAAACTATAACTAATTCTGAAGTAAATCTGATCCTTTTTCACTGAGACAAAAATAATTATGCTGTTTCTGAAGTCCTAAATTGGATTTAATACAAATGCAATAATCTAAGGACACATCCATACCTGTTGGGAAGTTCTAACAAAACTCTTTTGACCTAATATACTTAATGTTTCTGCTTGCAATTATCATTTAAGACTGTGGCAAACTAATGATGATTATTTCTATACTAAAAACATTTTTTCTTTTTCAGGAAATTTGTAAAGCAATGCTTCAAGCCATTTTCAGCTGATGTCATTGATGATGGTGTATATAAAAAACTTTGTGTGGAGACTGCTCAGTATAAGGCTGATCTGATATCAAAAGTTGACCTGTGAGTATTTGCTTATATTGAAACTTTTTTTTTTTAAAAAAAGCTAAAATCATAAGTAATTTGGTGGGTATGGAAACTAGAAAGCTATTTCTGCTTAAAATGTACCTTTTGCATCTTGATTTATACTATTACATCTCAGTATTTCTAATAAAACTTTGAGCTTAATAATAAATCTGAATCAGATAAATTTTCATGAATATAATCTGCCAATTAAGAGTAAAATGGTTTAATATTATATATCAGTAACACACTGCTATTACAATGCTTCAAATATGATATGATATTGTTATAAACATGTATGGTTGCATGAGAGAACAAACAAAACAACAAAGCACCGCCAGTGAGGCGGAAAGAAAATAAGACAAGAATTGTTAAAATAAAATTCTTTTTATTGTTGATATAGAGGATCATGGTGGAATGTCTCTTTGTGGGTAAAGGAAGCAACCTGGAAGATGGGAACAGCTGGAAGGGTTTGGAGTTTATGCTTATGTTGGGTTGGTTGACCAAAGTCACTAGTGACGATGGTAATGGTATATCTGCTAACTGACTTCAGTGTTGTAAGTGGCATCCTTAAAAGTAGATGGGGTGGATCATGACTCAATGTTTTTTGTTGTGCAATGTTTGTGATTGGCTCCTTTATATTGTATTTTATATTTTTGATGGGAGGGATTTGTTTTGTGAGTTGGATGTGATGCTTGGAGTCCCTGCACAGAGATCAATGTTTTTATTTTAGTTTTGCTTTCATAGCATTCATATCCAGCTGACAGGTTTTGATGTAGAGTGAATTAGAGATCTAATTTGAAGCAAAGAATAAGAGTATGATACACTGGAACAGGGGATGGGAATTGTAATGACCAATCATCTATTTTTTTTGGACACCAAGATGTTTGGTTGATCAAAAATTTTTTAGTTATAATGCCTCCTTTTTATAATAGTTAAAATATTAACATTCAGTGATGATCTCATCAGTTACATTCACTTATGCACTTATGCTCTTGGAAAAGCCATGAATCAATCTCTTCTTCCACCAGCTAGGGGTTAAATAGTAGAGTAGACTGGGTTCACTAATCTTGAGAAACATCCAGTCTAGTAGAAGGACAAGTCTGAATGCAAAACTGTGGAAAAAGTAGTGGAAAACTACACTTTCTCAAGAAGTCATGAACTCAAAGAGCCATGATTGTCTATGTCTTGATGGGACACAACATTTTAGAAAATAGTAAAGAATCCATGAGCTAGTTCTAAGGAAACCTTGCAATAAATTATAAAAGGAGGCGTTGTATGATTCCCACTTAGTCTGGCATGCTATCATGCCTTTAGGATTCCTTTTGGTTGCTTCTCTCAGAGGTGCATAGAGTCTGCTCGGTATAAAGCTGATCTAATATCAAAAGTTAACCTCTGATTATTTGCTTATATATATCTTACTATCACAATGATTGTCATTATTGAAGGAAATAGTGCTTTATAATACAATATCCAAAGAGATGTTGAATTAGTAAAAATTTCTATTCAGAATGTTATACTACTTAATCAAGATCTCTTTCTCATTCATAAATACATTTCACCATATATGGCATCTTTCACTAAGAAAGCAAAACACAAAATAAAAAAAAGTTATTTTCCAAACAGGGGCTCTGAGCATCACATCCAGTCCACAAAACAAATCCACACAAAAATCCAAAAATGCAATAGCCAATCATTATCATTGCCACCTAAAAAAATAAAAAAGCCTGCAACTTTTAAACCAAATATATGAAAATAGTATTCCTCGTCAACAACAAGCAGTTTGGCTTCAACACACAGCCACCAAGCCATCAAACACTTGCTCCAGGCCTTTCTCCTGACACCAACTGTGACCTTGGTTAACCAACCCATGAAATCAGTCAACACTCATCTCTACTGATAACATCCTTACACCTAATCACTTTCCTTACCAACAGCAACTAAGGAACTACATATGAACAATTTTTGCCAGCTTTCACACGACTATGTATATGTTCTGAAATTTGATCAATACATACTGCTTAAATTTTAATCCTTGTTTGTTCTTTTCCTTTGCAACCATATGCTTGATATAACAATAACTTCAAGTATGATTTGGAAATGAAATAATTTTTAATTTGATTCAAAATTATGATCATTATTAGCCATGATATCACACAGATTCATTAATTCAAACAACAAAATTTTCATTCACTCTAATACTATATATATATATATATGTATATAAGCATTTTTTAAAAATTTGAACTTGGATATGTATATGTTTGTATATTTGCCTACATTTGTTATGTGACAATTTATGTGTATATTTATATTCCTAATTAGATTTGCGTGATTTTTATTTATTTTTTTTTGTATTTAATCCATTTTTTGAAATATATTATTTTTTAATTTTTTCCATAAGTGAATACATTGCTCCACTATCTTAAATATTAATATTTAAATTTTATAAGAGAAAGTTTTCAGTCTGTGCTTACCAATTGACATGTGCGTGAAACTCAGTCCCTTACTGTTTGGTTCAACTCTATCTCATATATATATAATGTGTACAGACAATCCTTAAAAATCCATTTGGTTATCATATATTTAATTATAATTTATTTAATTTAATTTATTCAGACCAAAGTTTTTTTAATAAATGGAGTCAGTTTATCCTGACGAAAGGAAAAGGGAGAGGAAAAAAGAAAAGGAAAAAATTTTAATATTAAAAGAGGAAGATAGAAAAATAAAATTTCAGTATGTTTTAAAAAATTGTGGGGTGCGAGAGAAGGAGAGAGTGAGAAGGAGAGGGAAAAAGGAAAGGAGGAAGAATTAAACATGGGTTGATAGAGGAACCTAGAAATGATTTTTTTCTTTATGGACTGAACAAGTTCAAATACAGGGTAAGGAAGGGAGTGATCCGATTTAAAATAGATACATTAAATTGCCTGATATTCATGTCATTTTTGACAGCAAAACAATCATCATCGCATTATAATCATCACAATTTCAAATTGAATAATAATAATAATAATATTTTACATCAATAAAATAGAGTAAGTTAAATAAAATAAAATTAAAATATATAAAAGATACATAAAAATATTAATAAAATAATTAAATGAATTAAGAGATAAATAAAGAACAATTTTAAGGAACTTAAAATATGCATATATATATATATATATATATATATATATATATATATATATATATATATATAAAATTGAGCTGGTCAATACTAAAATGTTTGATAAAAAAAATGAATCATAACGTTTTTTTTTTTTTTTTAAATTGAAAATTAAAAATGATATGAAGAAAGAGGAAAAAAAACACAAATAAGGGAAAAGGCACTTAAGAGGGAGATAGAAAAAAGGGGGAGGGAGAAAAAAACCAAAGTAGTGAGGGGAACAGGATGACTGATATATATACATAAGTCTAGACAGAAGTTAAAAACGGTTGAAAATTAACAATGACCTATATTTAAAATGTTAACTCTTGTTCAAATAGGAAAAAATTACATAAATAAAAGCTTTAAAGTTAAGAAAGATTTTTTAAGGTTGTAGATTAAAGAAATATTAGAATTTAATATTAATACTATTATTTAATTTTAATATTATAAAAAAGAAATTTAATATTATAAAATATTAAGACATTAGTATATAAACAAGAAAAACCTGAATATTAAAATTGATAATTAAATAAAAGAAGAATTAAAATAAATAGATAAGTAATAGCCCCACCCCCAAAAAAATTTTATGTTATAAGGGAAAAAAATTTAAATAGATTAATAAAATATAAAATTATAGATTAAATTTAAAGATTATATAGATTAATTATAGATTAAAATATAAAAGATTAGATAGAATCATAAATTAATAATTATAGATTAAATTAGATACAGATTAAATATAGATTAAACTATAAATTAAAACATGAAAGTATAAAGAGGGCCTTTGACAGAAGGAAATATCCATAATAAATAACTTAGGATAAAAATTTAAAAAATGCAAAAATCAGCTATGAAACTCAGATTTATATACAATGTAACCCGGATATAAGAGAGTTGTCGGGACTGGAGAAGAAGTCTCTTATATCCGGGTTTGGTATATTTTGTTTAGGTAAGTATGGGCTCTAATTTGGGACCAGAGAAAATCTCTCTTATATTCGGGTTTCTATTATATCCGGGTCACACTGTATAAGGGAATTATTTTATTCTATTCCTGCTACTACTAATTATTATTATTATTGTTCTATCTCTTGATATTGAGTTCTGTATCTACAATGACTGATTGTGTTGGATGTATAACCTTCAGGAACTACCTTAGCATTTTTGGGCAAAATAAATTCCTTATTGTTTTATATAAAATGACCCAACAAATTCTTATTGTTTGTAGAAGATTGAAACAGTTCTACTTGTGTTTTAGTCCTGGCTGCATATAAGAGAGCAAGTTTTAGCTGACCATTAACCTTGTTACTCTTACTTGTTAGGTGCTGACAAATTATTTCCAGCAGTAGATAAAAATTGGTGATTAGCATTTGAATTTCGCAATTTTTACCTTAAAACTTGTTCCAGTAAGTTTCAGCACTCAGTTTGTATATTTTGAATTGAAAGTCAGTGGAGGTTATTGTCAGTGTTACTGGCAGAACAGTGCAATGATATATATATCTTTTTATTTTTCCATTTGATTTTAATTTCAAGTACAATGCAAACAAGGGTAATATTATAGAATGCTCTAGAATAAATAAATGTCAAATGACTCTCCTGATGTGTTTTTCAAATTTTACCAAATTATTATTTTGAAAGGATTAGATAGAACCTGAGAGACAATAGCTTGTTTAAAATTTACTGAGGGGTACAAAATGTAAATATTAATAGAGTAAATTCTACTTGAATATTAATAACATTTTTCCAAATATTCTATGGCAATGTTAGTAAGAGTTGGATTTCTTCTTGGTGGTATTCTTAAATGGAAAACTTACCTTACTTAGGTCACCAGAATTAATGGAGCACTTTCGATAGGTCAGAACCCATTTAATACCTAAAACATAACTTGTACACATTTTTTCCCACATTTTCATCAACAAGACCATCAATAAGACTGGTTGGTTATGGGGTAGGTTGCCTGCTTTAGAAAGCTCTCTCTTGGAGGATAATCTTGTTTATATATTTGTAAATAAAAAAAAGAAATTATCTTTGACTCAAACTATTAATTTATCAATCAAAAAATGTATTTTAATTTTCTTTCAAATTCTTAATGAAACCTCATTTTTTATACATGTTGATAGACAAAAAAAACTAACAAAATTCTTTTGAATATAGCAATTGTCATTCCTTTTTTGGGTTTCAATAATTTTCTCTTGAATTATTCAGTGATATTAACATTAAAAATAAATATTTTGCTTAATAATTTCAAAATTTTTGACTCTAGGAAAATGCTAACAGTTAAAATAAATGGTCAATGTTTCAGCTTTTGCACAAGACAAATATTTCTATGAATGATTATTGTTCCTTCATGGAAATAATTTAACTTGCAAAGTTTTATTTTTTTTATTATTAGCAAAATCCCAAGTGAAGATAAAAATGAAAAAAAAAAAACTATTAAAAAAATTCTTACTGTTAATGATAAAATGATGTAGCTGCAAATTGGAATGTTATAACGAGAAGATGAAAGGATAATATAGCATAATTGAAATCTTTTTCTCAAATAAAAATCAATTGTACAGAAAATAATTAAAACAACCCACAAGGAAGAAGGGTTTCCCTCTCTTTATTTGATGTTTTTGAAGGCTTTTTTTAAAATTTTGCATTTGCAGAAATTAGTTTTAGCATAAAAGCTAAAGCTAATTTCATGATAGACATGAAATTTCAATTATGTAAAATTCTATGAATAATGACATTTTGGTGTAGAAATGAGGAAATAAAATAAATAATAAATTTCTTCCTTAATAAACAGCATCTCAAAATATGAGTGATTATTCCAAGATATTGTATCATCACCATCTTAATAAAAACGCATTTTTAAAAGTTGAAAATATTTGAGGATTCCAGTAATCTCTATGCATAAAACACATTTAAATATATGCATTAAGTTTAAGCTATGAAACTATTCATCTTTTTGTTTTCACTTGAGCTATTCAGTTTTTTACTTATGTTTATAGATCACTGATATTTTATTCAAATATTGATAAAAAGAGTTATTGTTTTTTTCTTTTTTATTATTTATATACATGTTTTTATAATAATGCTGTTTGCAATGTGGAGTAAAATAGAAATATAATTACAAGTTATTTTACTAACTTGTTTTTAAATAGTCACTTAGTTGTTTTCTAAATTCTAGATTATAAATAAGCACTTTAATATATTATAAAGTGCATATCAGATTTCAGGGTTAATCAATTTAAAAAGTGAAGGTATATTTTGATATCTGTATATAATTTTATATTTTAGGAGGAAAAGACGATTGAGCACGGGACTATACCCAGATCTCCAGAGACGTATAAAACTTCCAGAGGCTTCTTTGAAAGTAAGTTTTACTGGCTTTTCAGTGTTTAAATTATTATCTTTATTAGCAGAATGCTATATTTACAGTGATTTTTATCATAAAAGTGGACATACTCATAGAATGACACATCTTGATATGATTTCAAACCTTAAGAAAAGCCATGATTATTTCCTGATAATTATTGTTAAGTATTGGTTAATGTTCAAATTCTGATAATGACTTGGATACTATTGTTTTTCTTAGTTGAACTTCATATCGATTGATTCTTTTTAACAAATTAACATAACTATAGTAGAAGAAATTAGCTGGGAATCTTTATGCAAAATGAATTTGTTGCTCTGACCTCAAATACTTCATATACTTTAACAAGTAACGGAATGCCATCTCAGTTATTGATCTTTAATGGCAAACAATTGCCAGTTTTGCTCAAATTCTGCTTATGTTTGCTAACAGATCAATACTGCTTGATAATATATTGTACAAGTCAGTGAATAAACTAGCTGCACCAAATATGTATTGTCTAAAACTTTTCAGTTTTTTAATATAAGCTCTCCAGTGTTGACAAAGATTGTTTTAATTTGAAAAGTTATTACATTCAACTTAATTCTAAGATGAGCTTTGGAGCCCAAATAATCATTTTATTAAAAAATAAAAGGATTTTAGTTTAAATGTTTATTATTCTTATCTTGGGGGGAAAAAAAGTAAAACAGATTTGAGATGTTTACTGTTGAAAAATTGCAATTGGAATTTAAAAATAAAAAAACATCAACTGGATAATGGATACTTTAAAACTGAACAGATTAAAATTATATAAAGTTTTTTCCTTGTAGGAATCTGTTGCATATTTAGATTATAATTTACAAACTGATTTTCTACACACATGCAAATATACACACAAACACACATACCTATATAAAGGAATACTTAGTTAAACATAATTTACATCAAAAGTTATGTCAATATCTGACTTCTTATATAACTGAATAATTAGTTTACACCATGCAATAACATTTTTCAGAAAGGTCAAATTTAAAATAGGTTTACTCCATAAATATATTTTTTAGGTAAAAAATTAAATAATGTAATTTAAGAAAAATATGATTTTTGTCAATAAATTCAATTTTGCTATCTAGCCTCCAGACAAGTGCATGTCATGTCTGTAAGACCCAAAGTAGGAACAGATAAATGAAAGTTTAATTTTATCTGTTACTCTTAATGGTCTATATTTTGATATTGAGCACTATAATTATAAAGACTGTGTGATATCTTCCAGCAATATTCTTTCTTGAACAAGCACAAATATTATTGTTAGTGTGTATGTATGTATGTATGTGTGTATATACATGCACACACACTGGACTCTCCTGTTGCTTTCAAGATATGAGGATGTACCAACTCAATTCTTAAAAATAAAAAGCCACACTGCTCACACATATGATTTGATTATAGTGATGAAAACTTGTGCAGAACCAACAACACTTTTTGGAATTTTTTTTTTTTTTTTTTTGAATGCAGAGAACTTGTGCACATAGTGTGCCACAAGTTTCTCAAATGACCCATCTCAGGTTTTGAATTCAGAGTTGTCCTTTTCCAATACTGGTTGCCAACCAAAGCTATAGGACCCAATGTGTCCAGTTATTTACTCATAGTTGTGGGGTGGGGAGAAGAAAAATTCAGATGTAACAAATTTGGGTGGAATTTAAACTTGGCTCTCTGATTCCTCAATCTATGGGTGGTTAGTTTCTGGCCATGGGTTGAATTTAATTGGTGGTGCTTTAGCCCCACTAGACATTCATTGTCTCTATCCATGCTACACTACTATACATAACTTCTCATCAAGCTTTTCATTCTGAATACACCAAGATGTCCTGCATGAAATTCTTTCAGGATTCTCTTTTGTAGTGCTAAAGGTACCACTACTCTTTTGCTGTACATGAGAACATCACCACACATTGTGTATACTCCCAAATCTGCTTTAGTCTTGTCTTTAAGTTTTTTCTTCATTTCAGTAATAAATTTGTCCTTTACTTTTTATATCTTCCAACGTCATAGGTAGTTCCCACATAGTATTGCATAGTGTGTTTTTTTATCTCTACTTCCAATTGTAGAGAAGCAATGACTGTGTCTTCTAAAAGTTCATTATTCCTTGGAATAAGTCTGGACAACCCGTCTGTATGACTTAATTTACACGATGGTAAGAATTCCATTTTAAATTCGTAATTTAGTAAAATGATTCCCCATCGTTGTAACCTATTAGCCGTATGAGTCGGTAATCCTTTTTTGAACCCATAAATAGCTATCAACGGTTTGTGATCTGTTTGTAGAGTAAACCTTCTTCTGTGAATGAATCTATGAATTTTTTTTCAATGCAAAGACAATCCCTAAACTTTCCTTTTCAATCATGGAATAATTTTTCTCAGCTGGAAGAAGCATCCTGGATGCATGTATAGTCGGTTTAATCAAGCTGTCTTCTAGTTTATGCATAATTTAGGCTCCTATATTGTACGTACTAGCATCACTTGCTACGGTTATTTCTTTTTTGGGATTGTACTGTGCCAAGAACAAGTCTGATGTTAGTATTTTTTTAATTTTCTCAAATGCTTCCTAGTATTCCATCATCCAAGACCATTTAGCGTCTTCAAAACCTCATTCAATGAAGCTCGCAAGCAATGCATATTTGGTACAAATACATTATAGTAACTTGCTAACCCCCAGGAAACTTTGTAGGGTACTGACATTTACAGGAGCAGGCATGTCCTTTATAGCCCTGGCATGTGCTGGATCTGGTTTCCTGCCCTTCTTGCCAATCATCTGACCTAAATACTTAATTTTGTCCATAAAATATCCACACTTTTTGTCCTCCAGTTTGAATCCATATTTCTGAATTCTTCTGAAAACTTTGAAAATATTTTTCTTGTGTTCTTCAGGGTTTTCACTTTTTAGCAAAATATCATCAAGATATGCAACTGCAAAGTCCAGTCCACTCAGCATTGTGTCCATTATTTGCTGAAAAATTGCTGGAGCGACCTTTATGCCGAAAAGCAAACAATTAAATTTGTACATCCCATGATGTGTATTTATGGTCAGTAATCTTGAATTGGAATCTGAAGATACGCATCACTTAGGTTGATTTTGGAAAATATCTGACCCCTACTAAACTGCGCAAATACCTTTTCCGGTTCCGGAAGTGAGTAACAATAACTTTTGAGGGCATCGTATAAACCCATGGAAAAATCTGCGCAGACACATATCTCTTTCATCTTTTTATATATAAACGGTTAAACGGTTATATATAATATATATATATATATATATATATATATATATATAAAACACCCATAAAACACCCATTTTTTTCGAGTCTATCAAGCTCATCATCAATTTGTTTTAGCAATGATACATTTCTTTCCTTTTTGAAAACTTTTTTAGCTTGAATTTTTCTTGCACCTGCCTAAACCATCAGAAAATATGTCTGGGAATTTATTTTTTAATTCTTGTTTAAGATTTTCTGCTTCGTTAGTAAAACCTTTCACTTTTTGGCAGGACAAATTGATTGGGCTGGTCTGGTAGGCCCTAGGGGGTATCTCTTTTTCTAGCAGGAGCAATCATGATTGGCTACTGCCAGAGGTTGCTTCATAAACCAGACTTGATGTGTGGAAAACAACTTCCGTTATTTAGTTCTCTGCCTTTCTGGTGTTCACATCTGGCCAGCATCCAGAATGAATCAGAAAGAGAACTAACTGTGACAAAGTATAACACACACACACACACACACACATATATATATATATATATATATATATATATATATATATATATATATATAAAGTCATAAAATTTTTAACTTTATCACAGCCATTAAAATCACACATATAGCTAAAACTGTCACCTTGACTTTTACCACTGATTTTGCTAATTTTAAAACATTCATCATAGGCTGGTTCTTGCTTTAAATATAACAGTTTCCCAAATATTTTTGTTTCATTTCAAAATCAAGTTATTTCATAAATAGATTAATTTGAGTTATTCAGAAAGAATGAAATATAAAAAAATATCTATAATCAAAATAAGGAAATAAAATTATACTAAAGAAAGTTTATGAGAGAGCCAAAATAGAAAACTATATATATATATATATATATATATATATATATATACTATTTTGGAAATGCGCTGTACACTAAAAAATACAATTTGTTTGATTCTGAGTAATGATCTAATTGATCTTCAGTTATTCCAAAACATTTAAGATTATTTTGAAAATATAGAAAATTTTCATTTGATATTATTTCAATACGGAAATATTAATAAAATTGATTATTTTTATTATCCATCTATTTTTAGAGATAGATATGTTTTGTTATTTATTTTTATTTATTCATTTCTCTATCACCACACATTTATTATATAGTAATTAAAATCTGAAACCAATATTGCTTCTTCATTTAATAAAATAGCATTCTGTTTGATTTGGAAACAATATAAAATGAAAATTATCATTTTTTTTTTCTTCCTAATTTTACTTTGAAGTTGTTCATATCTTTGGATGTTCATAAGCTAAAAGAAGTAAAGATCTGAGTGTTTAATGTTTCAGCCATTATTATTTAAGGAATAAAGTAACCTTACAAACATTGATTTATTAGTTGGCATTAAATATCTAGCTGTCTTCTGTAACATTCACACAACAGATATTAAAAAAAAAAGCTCAACTTCTTTTGTGTTACTCTGTTGTGTCTGTACTTAGTGTAGTGTGTTATAAACTGAATAGTTGCCAGTCACTAGAGACTGATCAAACCTCTTAAGTATTAAGATATACTTAGTGTGCTTGTTTACTCAGTGCAAAGTATGAGATGACTGAAATTAAGTTTATACAATTCTTGTACAAAGACTTAATTGTACAGCAATCTTCTTCTGAACTACACTTACTGAACTCCCTTTCATCTCTCACTTTCTATTGATCCTTCTTGCTGTCACACCTCTCTTGAATTATACCCAAGTTGACTCAATGACAACACTCGAATACTCTCTGATGCTTGACTCCATTGTGTGAAAGAAAGTGAAATCTCTTTCCCAAATTATTTGATAATTTTAAACAATGAGAGAGAATTTTATTGGGAAATGAATTTCAGACAGTTTATAATTATTGGTTTATAAGCAGAAAGTACTTTCTGATTCTGTTTGACCTTCAACAGATCTGAGGTAACAGATTTAAAAAAAAAAATATTAGTACAACATGAATTGGTTTTGAGATTAGGCAATTATTTATATAAAATAAAAATTCTTGATACTTGCAGGCATAATATATATATATGTATATAACCAAACAAAGAAATGCACACTGAATTAAGCAACATGTGTTTTTTCTTTTCATGAATCATATTTTATCCACTGAAGATTTTATATTAGATTCATAAAATGCATTTATATCAAGATAAAAATTGTTTATATGATGCTTATATATGAATTGATTTTGATCTATGCATATATAAAAGGCCATTGTCTCTATGTGTGTGTGTCTGGCTAAAACTAAAAAAATGACAATAATTAGTGACAAAATAAATATATATACAGACTCATTATCACCTAAGCTAGATTTTTGTAAAAAAAAAATTATCATGTTATTTGTATTTATGAAGATATTTTAAAATTAAAATGCATTAGAATGCATTTGAAATTCTCAGAATTAAAAAGTAAAAACGAATGGTAATAGTTCTTATTTCTGATTATTATTACCATTCATTTTTTCCTTTTTAATTCTGTTGATACTTTTGAAACACTATACATGTTTGTATTTTTAAAATTTCTATTCTCTTGAATTTATTTCCATATCTATAGTAAATAAAACCGTAACTATATATATATAGTCAGACAGACATGAGTTACAGTCAACATTAGTCGTGTTGAATATTTGTTTATGAATTTTACTATATTTTTTTAATTTAAAATGTCTTTTTGAATAAAAATAGGGGTTGCTCAGCCCCCTAACCCCACTTCCCCACCACCAGTGTGGTATTGGTAGTGTGGTATTTGCCTAAATTTAATTATTTTGTAACAAATCAAAAAAATAATGAAGTTTATTTTTTAAAGATTGAATCAACAATTATTTTTCATAATATGACTGAAAAATATAAATAAATTATCAATAATAAACTATTATTCAGAGATCTTCTGAGCAACATTGAGTATCCCTGCTACTCATTATATATTGTAACAGTCCAATAAAAAAGTTAGTTTCTCAAGATTTTGTCCAATTAAGAAGAATTTTCTAAATTAAGGTTTCAGGAGAACAAAAAGATTATCATTTCTTATTTTAGTACTCTAGTTCATAATAAAATCAATCAAAAAACAAGTAGTAAAATAGCATTCTTAAGTTCTCTATGGATTCTATCAAAAATAATATAAAAACAAATTTGTATGAACTAAGATTGGTATTTAGCTATATCAGCTTATCATTTGAGGGACTGACATTAGACAATTCTATTGCTAGAAACATTATCACTTTATCACTTATTATAAATTCTTTTAGACCTTTCTAACTAGAAGTAACTTTTAACATATATAATTTTTTGTTAAAAATTATATACACACACACACACACACACACTTTGATTTATTTTATATTTTTTAATGGAGAAATCAATTCTTCCTTAATTTTTAAAGATGTCTTTCTTACATGTAAAAATAAATTTATAAGGTTCTAATCTATTTCAGAAAGCTATTATCCAAGCTGCTCGAATGTTGGAAGAGTTCTATCCTTATCATGTTCTACAGCGCTTACCAATATCTGAAAAAGAATTTTGGGAAAAGCAACAACTTGATGTGAATGATTGGAAAGGTATGAAGTTTGATATGAGAATGTAAACAAACTTTTGATTTGTTTTGTCAAATGAACATTTATTATTCAATTTTTTCTGATAGATTTTATGCCTTATAAAACGAAAACAGATTTAATTCAATTTTATCTAGAATAACCATTCAAGATGATTTACATTAAATATCAGTTATTTTATTGAGAATGAAATTGCAGCTTTTATATGTATAATGCCAGTATATAAATTAGTATGTTAGATTGGTGTAAAATTTCCCTGCATCATATATATTTTTATAACTTTAAGGAAATATTAGAAGTATACTTAGTACTTTCTTTCTTATATGTGTATGCACATTTTATGCTATCTTTTATGTTTTGTCTGGGGAAAAGTGCATTAAAATCTAGGCAGTGGCTCCTTGAATCATAGGATGTGGAGGCAGTAGGTATAAGCAATACATCTCTGAAATGGTTTGTAAAGTTTAAAAAATGATTTTGAGCCCAAGGACAAATAATTTTCTGCAAGACCTAAAAATGGAAACTGATTAATTGGAACTTTTGAAGGAAAATGCTGTACTGGCATGGGAACTTGTAGAAAAATGAATCACCCATTGATTACAAGCCTTGATAAACATTCAGAAATTAAAAAATTGTGTTTCGTGTGAACTTAAGGGAAAGAATGGTGTTCAGTATTTAAATATTTATCTTTAGCCTTTTGAATAGCACAGAAAGTCATTCTAGACAAGAAAATGGATTTATTACAAGGATCTAAAATGAAGAAAATCATATCTGGATACATAAAACCTTCAGCATAAACAGAATCTATTGAAGAAAAAAGTTCTGTGCTTCATGGCATGTGAAGATAAAGATAACTTATTGTTTAAATTTGGACATTACCACAGTAAGTGACTCATTTGAATGATTCATTGGAAAAGAAATGATTATTTTCTGAGTAAGAAAGTTGATCAGTAATTTTGCTGCATCTCTCAAGTTGCAAAAGGGATATTGCAAATAATCATAGAGTTGGGATGGTAAGTTCATCTATCATCATCATCAAAGCCGTGTTTTTTATGTTGAGGCAGAACTGAGATTAATCTCACACAAAGCAAGGTGGATCCTACCTGACAGAGAATCTCAGTTTACCTCACCACATACACCTTCAACATATTGAGATATGTCATAATAATTTGAGGCAAAGTTTTACAAGGCACTTCCTGATGCCTAACACAAACACTTATGGTAGGTAGTTCAATCAAGTACACAGAGTGTTTTTATTGTGACACCACTTCTAGGAATGTTGCCATTCAAAACTTGAGACCCCATCCCATCCACTCTTATATATATATATATATGTGTGTGTGTGTGTGTGTGTGTGTGTGTATTGGTTGTTGGCTCCTATAAAGCCTCCTTTTGACAGGTCCTGTTTTTTGTCCTGTGGGGTGGCATGCTACCCTCCTCACCAGCAACATATTCCTCAGATCTGTCACTTTTAAGCTATCACTTATTTCTTTCTGTATAATACTCCTTATTTGATCAGTTGTTCTCCGAAGAATTCAGGATAAACTAGAATGCCATAAAATTAATAATAGTGTGTAGGTCTTTTAAGAGCTGGAAACATGACTCTTCTGAGCAGGTAACATGGCATCAATTTTCCACTGTCCAGTAGCAATGTTTCCTTAGCCCAGGTAATGTGCCATCACCAATGTCAATGTTGTTGATCAATGATTACAAGACCCCATGAAATACAACGTATTGACTAATGGGTTAAGTGGCGCCTGATTTGATGCAATATTTCCTTTTGTTAGATGGTTATCAGCCTTTAGTCACTAGTTGTATCTTGTATCATTTCGCACATTTTTAACTGAGAAAATCCTAGAGCAGTTTCCATTTCAAAGATAGCCCTATCTTTCTGACCACCAACAATCTTTTTACACTGTTAAAATCCTGTGTTCTATGACTACCATAGCTACACACACACACACACACACACACATATATAGATAGATAGATAATATTAGTGATTAATAAACACACACACACACACACATATATATATATATATATATATATATATATATATATATATATAAATTTACAAGAGGATAGAATCCAGGTAGAACTCAATGTCCAGGACAGAGTAAGAATATAATAAAAAGGCTTAAACACTAATATTCCATGGTTATAATTTATTATATTGGAATCATAATTACGATCTAATTCATCAGACCTACAAATTCCAATCTAGCTAATTCCATTTCTATCAGTAGAGTAGGTGAAAACAATCCAGTAGACTATTATTTTTAATTTTTTTGGTTTATTAAAATTATTCTTTGAATTCATCAAATTAAAACTGAACTCTTTCTTTTATATTGGAATACACAATTTGAAAAGTAATTAAAGTATTTTACATTGCTACTTTAATTACTGAACATTAATGGTAAGAATTTAATAATAAGATAAAACAAAAACTATATCAGTCTAATATTTTATCTATCTTGTTTTATCTTTGTGGTAAGTTTTTGTCATTTTTAAAATTTATTTTTAGCTGCATCTACTTAATGAATTTAAAGGCAAAATATATGTTCAAAGTGACTTGATAATTATGAAATTTGTACATTTATCTGAATGCCTAGAATTTTTTCAAGTTTATCTGGGAAAATTAATTCAATTTGAATTAATATAATGAATTTGAAGTGTTAAAGTTAATTATATAATATTTATAATGAAAGTTTATTTATCCTGTATCAATTGAATTAAATATCTATAAACAAAATCTTGAAATATCAAACATGGTATTTATGACCAGTAACATTCAGTTCCCTTATGTGCCATGCGTGATACACGCTTAGGCAATCATGTATCTTTTGATACATAACTGACGAGGCAGATATTTTTTTCCTGCAATAAGTTGTCATTTCTTCCTGTAGTAGAACAGTTGCCATCCAAGACTATAGAACCTGGTCTATATTTACCCTTAGCTGGAGGGGAGACGAAGTTCATACCTTTTCTAAGGGTATAGCACATAAGTCAATGTAATGGATTTGACTGGAATTCAAACTTGGCTCACTGATTCCTCAATCCAAGCCGCTATCCATTACTCCTCAGATCAAATTCAGGAAATAAAAGCTGATGTATTCAATTCTCTTACTGACAATTTCTTTTATGATTACAACAGCTTCCTTTCTTTCTTTTTTTCAGGGGAAATACTTTTGAAAAAAGTGTTTCTAGTATTTGTAATGTAAGAGAGCTTCATAATTTTGAAGTTATTTATAATTTTAGAAAGGTTTTTTCTTATTTCATTTTGGTATTTTGCTTTCCAAAATAACACAAAAATATTACTGAATCAAAAAATGCATTTAAAAAATTCCAATGAAAATCCATAAGTCTTGTTTTTGCCAGTTATGAAAATATCCAATTTCTGAAGAGTTCTATCTATTTTTGACCTTTTTAACAAAATATTGTATCGTGTTAATCTATTATATAATGTAAAACACTGTTTCTCAATCATGCAAACTGATCTTCCCTTAGTAATGAGATAATCAGTAGTTATGGTAACAAGAAGCATTATTCTAGGCTAGTAAGTGAACATGTCTTGTGCTGCTATAACAACAGAATATTGCATTAATGGTGAGAACACACTGCAAATACACACTCTATTTTATTTCTTTTGCTTCATGTTAACTTTGGGTATTTTTTACTTTTAATAATTTAAAAAGCAGAATTCTTTCTTGTCATTTACACTAGATTTAATTGTATAGATAAAAATCTTAGATTACTCATGCATAAAATATAACCAATACAATTGCAAATTTAGTAAAATATACCATTGTTTTATAACAGTATGCATAAACTGGTCCTAATGATTCATTTTTTTGTTATCATCAAGTATTTTATGTTTATCTGATTTGTTTATTTTTCAAAGGTTTAGCATGTAAGAAACTTACAGAAATCTTCTCCAAAAATTTTCTGGTACCACTTGAAGAAACTGATAATCACTTTGAATTGAAGGTAATATTGTGTTTTTTTTTTATACATCTTGTTAATGTTTTTGAACAGGAGTTTCTGTTTAGGTTTTGCATTAATATCAACTAGCATAGTACCCACAAAAAAATGACAGGATTATTTATGTATTGCTTAGCACTTCTATTGAGGACTAAACTATCTATACACTGCTGAATTACTTTCAAGCATATCTGCCTTAGATCAGTGTAGTATCTGTGTACTCTGTGAGGTGTGTTACACACACACACACACACACACACATACAACTATCAACTTATCTGCTCATTTTCACAAAGTAGAATTGAGAAAAACAAGGGAAAGGCAGAGGGTAAGTAAGGAAGCTCAAGAAAAATGAAAAGCTGGTGAAAGGAATGGATGTGAAAGAAAGACTTAAACAGGCTGGTTTGCTGATTTGAATGTTATTACTCCTTTACTACTTTGATCTTTTGAAATGAGTAAAGTTTTTAATATTTTTGGAGTGTGATGCACACCATATGTTGGAAGGTAAATAGTTACTATGGTATTAATATAGAGATATATTGTCATTTCATATAAGTGCATATCTATTCAACTAGTGTGTGTAGTATGTTTCATTCTTTTTTAAATTGGAAAAACAGTCTATAAGTATGAACATGCATACTATTTATACTGATTGGGGAACAAATGTATCTGTACTTTAAAGAAAAATAACTAAAAATATATCATGTAAAATTTATTTCAATATTTATTTTTATTATTGTCATATAGGAAGATAATGAGTAACTACTGACACTGAGGTTTGAGTGGACTTATGAATATGTTTTCCACAAGTTGTATAAATAAGTGACTGAAGTGATTATTAAGTGAAACTATCCAGTTGAATTAGTGTGAATTATTGTGTCGATGATTTGGGTTTTGATTTAGGATTTACTGGACATTAAGCTGAGTCGTGCTACTAACAAGGTATTCACTAAAATGGTTATCTTTGGTTGACTTATACTTCTTTGTTCTTGTTACATATTTATTTGTGGTTATAAGTAAATACTGTTTTATTTTAACATTGAAATCTTGAGTTATACTTAATTATTAATGGCTACTGTATGTCACAAAAATTATATATTAACTTTAAAGCTGAATGAACTTAAGTATATTTCTGCTTGCCTGCTATCATTACACAGGTTCAAACCAACCATTATTTTCATTTGCATTTTATGTGCTTTGTATAAATCTAAGATTTTTTGTTTATGAAACCAAAGGATTTAAAAGTACTGGAATGTTTACCTCCTAATGTGAAAACTTTTAAGACTTTTCTTGCCTCCAATTCTCAAATCTCCTCCTTTGCAGCTATAGTTTGTGTCTTTTTCATTTTATGATACTTTTATGAAAACCAAGAATGACAAATGAAGGAAGAATAGAATAAATTGGATCAGAAATTCATTTTAATTCTTTTTAATGTTTACAGAATCAAAATTCCTTCAAGTTATCCATGTACAGAACCATCATGTAAACATTTTGCAATATTTATTCTTGAATTCCTTTTGTTTAACAAGGATCTATTTTACATTAATTTTTTAATGTGTTTGAAGAAATAATTAATTTAATAAGCTGTATGAATCGATCACATTCTATGGGGTTGGTTAATCAGCTTACTACATTTTATTTAATTTCACAAAATATTTATTTTCATGCCACCAAATAAACTAAGTCTCACTTTGATTTTATTTAACATTTTCTTTTCCTGCTGAATAATTTGCAATTATTTCTTGTTCAAAGCCTGAATTTTGTTGCTTTTCAATAAGTTTTGCTGAATTTTAAAATCTATCTAGACTATTATCATCATCAATAAAGTAAACAGTGTGAAATTAGAATAGACAAGTAGCATTTGACAAAACTTGAACTCACAACTCATAAACACTGTGAAATCAGAATAAAAAAGTTTCACTGTCAGTTACTTTTTTATTACAATTTCATCCTGTATACTTTTTAAACAATACATTCAGCAACAAAGTCTCTTTATAGGATTACGCATCTGCGCACACATCATTTGTACAATGAGCAAATTCATTTGAAATGAATCAAAAAACAAGTAATGCAGAAAACAATCTATTAAGATAATTATTTGTATTTTTAATGCTAATTAACTAAAAAAAATAAAAAGAAAGTGAAATGGAATTTTGTTATAATTTTATGTTCCAGTAATAAGTAATATGTTAAATACCTTGTCAAAAATGAAAGCATTATCAAATATAAATACAAATAAGAATAAAAAGCTATAACATTTTATGACCATAATTAGTATTAAATGAAAAAAAAATGACATCAATGTATGGATTTTCAGGTATGCCAAGAATGAGTCCTAATTTTACAATTGGTATTGTAATGTTTAGAACAATTACAGGAATTATGTTTACATTTTAATCAAAATGATACCTGGAGAACAGTTTTCTTATCAATTCTAACTGTGATATTTTTCATGCAGGTTGATCATATTAACTTTAGTCGGTACACAGACATGTTGAAATATGCAGAATATCATGATGACTTGGACTTAATTACTGAAATGCATATTCCAGTAGGTAAGTACACACATACATACATATATATATATATATATATATATATATATAGTTATTGTTAATATTAGTGGTAAATATGCACATACATATGTAAAAATATATATATATATATATATATATATATATATATATATATACATAGGTGCATACACATACATGTATATTTTTTGAATAAAAAATTCCAAGAGGATAGAATGCAGGTAGAACTCAATGTCCAGGACAGAGTAAGAATATAATAAAAAGGCTTAAACACTAATATTCCATGGTCATAATTTATTCCATTGGAATCGTAAATATAATCCAATTCATCAGACCTACAAATTCAAAAAGAAAACAGATAGTTTTTTGGGGTTTTTTTTATCAGCTATATAAGAATGTATTGGTAGTTTTTCCATGAAGTATCTGAACTCCAGTCACATGTCCTGAATAATTATTTGGGCTAAGCAGTCTATTTACAAAGTAAGTTGTCAACATAATCAACTGCCATAATCAATGAAAGAAATTATTGAAAAAATATTTTGAATAGAAATTTAGGCAATATTCTGATAGTGGATGAAGAGAACAATTTTATAAAGTTTACTAAGTTTTTACTCAAGATTTAATTAGAAAAACAAAATAAAAAAAACCCAAACATTTTTTTATATTTAACATACACACACAAACACTAGTCACTCTATGGCAAACATTTGATAACTGTAATGAAAGCAGAATTTCAGCTGTCTTTATTATTTATCATAGAATGTAGCATGTAACAATATTCTATAATATGTAACTTCAGATGTCATGATCCATATTATTGTATACTGTTGAAATATGAGAAATTTATTCTTTTTTTTTTTAAATGAAAAGAACCATTTACTGAATTATACATGGAATTTAATACATTAAGTTACAAAGCTACTATGAATTGGAAATTTTTTTTTTATATTTAATAAGTATCCCTTTATAATTGTAGTCAGTAGAAGCACTTCCTATCTATACTCACTTTATTTCAATCAAACTTTTTATTTGGTTTAATAAAGTGATTTTACTTTTAGGGGCAGTGCATATATATATATATATATATATATATATATATATATATATATATACACACACACACACACACACACACACAAGTATGTTTAAAATATGGAAATAATCTTTTAAAAGAAAGATTTTGAAAGGGTTTATTTATAAGATTTTCTCATTAACTGATATGTGATAAATTGGATAAACAGAACAATACTGTATTTTTTCTCAATCTATTTTGTTATACTAAAACTTCCAGATTTTCATGTAAATTATTATAGGTTTCTTTACTGCTTCATAATTTTATTGACTGGATTTTTATCCCTGTGAAATTGTCAGCAAAAAATAATGATTTAACATTAATTGGTGAAGAAACACAAATGGCATCATAGACTGAAAATTTTTTTTTTTTTACCAATCCCACTACATTTATTTTAATTATATATGTACTGTTTAGTGCAAGAAAACATGATTTGTCATAAGTCCAAAATTAAAGATCTTTGAATAAAAAGGTACATAATGCTTCACAGTAAGCCTAATAAATAAACATAATATTCCTTTTTTTTTTTTAAATAACTAAAACAGTTTTGATAAATGCTCTGTAAAGAAATGACATAAATCTCCAAATTCTGATATTTTTTATAGTCTTTTCTGAATCTACAAATAAGAAAACTTGCTTTCTTTATGGAACCAGATAAGTTATCATTTTAATTTTCATTGTTGAAGAATAACTTTATTTTTTAATTGATGAAAATTAGCCCAGTTGATATAAGAAGGAAAATGGTGCAAATAGTCGAACAAATAAATTATTTCTACTAATAATTTAAAAAAAAAAAAAAAAATGATGATGATGGACTAAATTTTCAAAGTAACTGCATTTTCTTAATATCACAAATGGTTTTTTTGTCCCCAGTTTCCAAAAGCAAAATTTGTAATCTAGATTTATAATGTGGGATTTATAATTAATAACCAAAATAATTATAAAAATGAAAAAAAATAAATCTTATTTCATTAGAAAAATCATATCAAAGACAATATGACTACATTTAATTCTTCTTCTTTTTTTTTAATTTTTTATTTGATGTTCTCCAGTTTCTCTGTAATTTTGCTTGATTAGAAAAAAAATCAAAAATCAATAAAAATAGAAAGAACAGCAAAGCTATTGTATTTTCATTAATCATTATTTAGTTACATTTAATGATCAACTTAGATGCAATTTTAAATTGAAACAATTCAAGGGAAGTAAAAATGTAGTTTCATGAATCATGGGAGAAAATTCTATATAGAATCTCATGGTAATGATAATATTAGCGGTTTCTTTCTGTGGAAAGACTTGGCATTCATTGACCGAGCAGCCAGTGCAACTGTCGGTTGAAATTTATAACAATTTTTTTGTTAAAGTAATTTTCAGGAAAATAGTTTTCTCAAGTCTACTAAATGTTATTGCACTTTTCAGTATTAGTGGGGCTTTCTTTGTTTGAAGTAGTGTAGAACATCAAATTATATTACTTCAAGTTACATTTGCTAGACCTAATCTGATACAAGTCAAAGGAAAAACAGAAGATTGGGTTACACCAATTTTTCATGTTGGGAGAGTCTGTCTGGCTTTAAACTCCATTTTTGCTTATCTTTTAGAACTGATCATAGGAAACTGTTTCAATCCCAAAGTCTTTATTATTTTTTATCAAAAAGAAGTTCTTTTACCTCGACACTACAATTATAATTTAGATGGTAGTGCATCCTATGAACATTTCTTTAACTGATGCTATTGTGTATACAGTGTCACACATTGATTGATGGCATGGAAAATTTTGTATTGGTTCAAGTAGATAGACAATATGCAAATTATGACAATGCTTATGTTTCAACCAACCAGAAAGCAAATATATTTTTTATTTACTTTTAAAAGCACCTTATTTTTCTTAAATAATAATATCCTTAAAATAAACATTCTATAATTGGTAAATAAATCTCCCCTTTACATTTAAATTATTTAGAGTATTAAATTAGATCTGTATGGATAATAGATGGTTTGGGTAAACATTAGCCTACCATATATTTGATATATAAAACCTGGGAGATATTATTTGAAAAAAAGAGGGGTCATTTATACCATTAAGTATGGTAAATAATTTTGAGAGGTTTTCTCTATTTGTTAAAAGAAATAAAAAAAACCTAAGTATCAAAATTAGTGCAATAAATAAGTTTAAAGACAATAAAAGCTACATATTATCACTTATCACATATAATTTAATGCAGTCAAGATATTTTTCTAATTATTCTACAAAGTATGAAATACATTGGCTTATTTAAATTGTATTGTACATCATTTTAGTATTGCTGATTTTGAAGATTTCTTTTTGGATGTATATAAATGTATTAAAATGAAACTTTCATATATGCATGCGAAATGAAAATGAGAGCCTTTCCAAAATGTTTTCATGGTTTACTGCTTTATTATTTAGTGAAACTTATTCCAAAAGTTTCTTAAATATTTAGAATTGTCCAGTATTTGCATTGATTAAGCTCATTGACATAAAGAAATGATACAAGTGGGTAGATTAACAGATTAACTCTGATGGGGCTTTGCCATGCATAATTTGGTAGTTTTGATTTTTACAATTCAGATTTTGAAAAACTGGCTTTATTTTCTACCCTATTAATGAATCTGCTTCCTTGATGAAAATATTACACAAATGGCATCATAGACTGACAATTCTTTAAAAGATCAAATGGAGAAACATTTTTTCAAGAGTTGTTTCTCTCTGAAAAGACCATTTTCAAAATGTCTATATTTTTAGATGAAAAATGAACTTCAGTGATTATTGTTCAAAATGCTAAGATTTGTATGAAATTATAAAAGAAAGTGAATCCCATTAGAGAACATGACTGATATTTTTCCATCTCTTTTTAAGCTTTGCTTTTTCATTGTTTTTACTTTCTATAAATTTGCAATCTATATAATTTTTGTCTTTGAATCTTGAATATGAGTTCATAATCTTTGCAAACCTTATAAATTAAGCATCTCTTTGTGCAGCTGATGTAAATATTCGGCCTCCATTTTTGGATTCTGGTTTCTTTAATCCAAATCAACGACTGATACCAACAGCAAGATGGGATACACCTCGGTAAGCATTCTTTTAGTATTTCATTTTTAATTGGCATTATGCATTTTAAAATGGACTGAAATAATTAATGACTGACTGGAAATTAGGCTGTTGATTGTTGGTTAGTTATTTTTACACTGATATTTGAAAACAAAAAACAGTTTTTCATAAAATTTAATATCTAATTATAAAACAATCACTGTACTAAAAATTTATTATTTTATCAATCAAGATTCTGTTAATTGATGTTTACAATCATGATATTTATATAGAATTATTACAAAATTTATTTTCATAAATAGTTCATTAGCATTTTTCTTTTTAAAGCTAATCTACAGAAATACTCTTAATTAGTGTGTAAATTATTAACATTCTCAACAGTTAAGTGGTAAAATTAATAATTCTTGAAATTGAAATGTATTTTTGAAATCAACCTGTTCACATAGAGTGGAGAGATTTTAAAAATAGTTTCATCAAAATTTAGTACTATTTTGTACCAGACACATGGAAAATAGTTATGCGAGTAGGAATTTTTCAGCTTATAAAATAAGCATGCTGATTCAAATAATAATTCCTTTGGGATTTTTTAAATAATTTTAATAAGTGTAGAACAAAATAATCATGGCATGGAGAAAATTAGTTGAAACAGGATAAGTATGCTATACTAGATAAGCACTGTATTGGAGAGTAAGGAATTGAAGGAAATAATTGTCTAACACTTACGCCCTAGCCCCTCAACCTCTGGCATCTTACTCTCAGGGTTGAGGTGTCTACTCAGTCCTAACCAAACAATAGGGAGTGGCCATAGGTCCCTTGAGCATCCGTAGATTATTTGACCTGTCCGCTGGTTTAATCCTGCTTCCTGCCCACATTATGATTTGTTTGATCCAGAAAGTAGAAGTGATGTCTGTCCATTCACGGTTGACTGAAGATGTAGACATGGCTGCAGAGTTGCGCTAAGAAATTTAGAATGCAGCAAAAAAAATAATTAATATCTGCAGAAAGCCGGACAAACATCGATTCAATGGTTGAATTGGTAATGTCTTTTATATAGCAGTAAAGAATAAAAAGAGAAGAGAAATAGGTTACAGAAAAGTAAAAAAAAAAAAAACTCATACACTGGATTCTAGACAGAGAGTGTATGTGATTATCTTGTTAAATTGTCTGAGAATGATATATGACTCTTACGATGGAGGGATAAAGATTTATGTGTGGGGCTTAAAGTTATAGTGGCATTCCTCCTCCCAACGCTCACCAGGTCCAATTCCCTCTTCTCTTTTCAAGAATTTTCTCCCATCTGTCTTTCAGCATAACTACGCGTTTATATAGATAAACCAGGCTGATTATAACTGACCCTCAATCCTACTACTGTGCACACGATTATCATGGGGTTCTGGCTGCTTCAACCAACATCATGTGAATTCCAAAGTTCCTTCTAGCTTACTCAGCTCTATTTCAATTTTTAATCGATAAAATTTATTTCGACCACTTCCATTTTCCTTTGATGACCCAGATTCAATGGGTACAACTTCTGCCCTGGATCAGATTTCCCTATCAATAAACAAAATACCCCAATTTAATTTTGCTATTCAAATCTACTCCAGTTTCACTAAAAAAAATATATATATATATATATATACACGTGTGTGTGTTTCCCAGACTCTCTCTGTCACATTTCCTCCCCTACCCATCTGTCATTTACTAGTAAATGACAGATAAGCTTTCATATCAACAAAATATGAAAAAACCCAGTCCTACATGCTTCTTAATAGGAGGCTACTAAAACATATGTCTCTTCCAGCATGCAAAGTTAGAATCCTCAGTTCTTCTTAGGGCTCATTATGCTCATTTACATTTTCATTGTCATTACGATACATATGTACATGCAACTTCCGGTTAAAGTTCACTGTTTTGGTGATCCCGTGCAATAGAACCTTTTCACATAGTTCACTAGTTCGAGTGTTCTTTTTTTTTTTTTTTTTGGAGTTCGCAACACTCCTTACCAATTATTTCAGTCTCATTACTAAAAATAAAAAAAACATGGATTTATTTCGTAAATCTGTCCCTCCGATTTTGTCTCGCCTTCACAACAGGCTTTGTTGAATCTTTTGTTGGTTCAGGTCCTTCCACGACAATCGAGGACTCTTCTTCAATATCAGTTAGGGGTCTCAATGCACTCAGGTCAGACATACAAAGTAAAGGTAAAGTGCACTAAATGGAATCCCTCCTTCACTCATGCACTCCCGTGCCAGTTTATTCTGCCCGGTCAACAGCACCGCACACCTCTTCAACCACCACCAAACCAGCAAGGCCACGACCATCATTAGTATAATTCCCACAACGGTCAGCCAGATTATTATCGCAACCAAATTCTCTCTCCAGCCCGAATTCGGCGTACCTATCCTATCTAACTCCAACTTCAACCATCGAAGATCAATCTTATCAATTGGCTTTAACAATGCCAGCATCTTTTCTAGCAACATCTTAGGAATCTCTCTTACAATGGGTTCCCACTATCCCGTCCGTCCACTGGAATTCTAATAAAGCCTCATTCTCTTCAAACTTCTCTTCTGCTTGGTAGTAGGGGGGTAAAGAGATAGATGGACCATGAGCTCCACAACCAATGGGTAGCTCTACAAAAAACAAAGGGGGAATAACTCTTATCGTAGTGGTGGGCTTCCCTTCACACACCTTAGATAATTTGATCTCTTCTTGTGTGGCCACCGCCCAAATTCCGCCAGAGACACTGGTTGCTTTAGGTAACATTACACTAGCCAACACCTCTACCTAGCAATGATCGCTAATTCCCTTCTTATTTTACTTCAATAAATCTAGTACACACAGATTGTGACTACCTGTCACGTAAATTGGATTTACAGACCCACAGATACCTAAGGCATCATTCTTGCATTTTTCTGCTTCTCTCTTTGTTAATAGCATAAACTCTGTCCTGGCTAGGTTTAGGGCAACAAATTCTGTCTCTGCCTTATACCTAGCCACCACTCCTATCTTCGGCCTTAGTTTTGGATGGGGAAGGGGAAGATTCATCACCTGATAAATTTCAAAGGTACTCTGTCCAGTAATGAAACCGGCACTAGCACTAGCAATTTATCATCTTCCAACAAGCTAGTACATCCCAAGGCACTATAGTACCTCCATAACTGCTGGGTGGGGTCTACAGGTAATCTAAGATGATGGAGTAGTTAGGATTGTATTTCCAGTAATACTTCCCTTAATCGTTCTGGCGTTATTATACTCGGAGACAGGTGTCCCAGCAACAGCATGTCTAATTGTGCTCTCACATGCTCTAACAATACCGTTAAAGAGTGACTTGTTTGACGTACCTTACACATTACAGCTAATAATTGAAAATATCTTTGCAAAAAACCCTCTAATTTCTGTAATGCGGTTGTTACAGACGTGGTTACATTTATCACTTCTTTTCTAAAAACCTGTAGGTGAGAAATCAACCAATTGATACTCCCTCTATTCTTAGCCAATTTCAGCCTAGTAACATTGAGTATGGCTACGCTCTCTCTAACCGACTGAGCCACTGCTTGTTGTCTCTGTTCTACCACCTTTAGTTTCCTCTTAATTACTCTCACCTTGTCTTCGGAGACTGTATCAAACAACACGCTTAATGCCTTTCCCATTATAGGTAATACTACCCTCTTTTGCCTGGTTCGTAACAGCTTTATTCCTTTCAAATAGTAACTCATATCTTTCCATTGTCTCTCAAGTATTAGGGATTCCTGAGCTAAGGGGTATAATACACGGTGGTATTCCGGAGTCTGTAAATATTCTTTGGCGACTTGTTTCCTGGCTGTATCTAGTTTGTCCACTTCGGTCTTTAACTGACCCAGTAACTTCTCATACGGCTGCAGGTCTGTCACCAAAGTTATCAACCACTTTGATCTAGTTATAATCACTTCGCTAGTCTTCTTAAATACAGTATTCTCCCTGTGTTCCCAGGTATTAGCTACCACAGCTAGCATCGTCAGTACCATGAGCCTCCTCTCGTCATGTCTGCAAGGAGATGGAGAGAATAATTTGTCAATCATTCTCTTATTGTTTTTATCAGGTGGTTACATCTTAGAGTGATACCTCAAGCACCGACCCACACCACCACCAGCGCTGTGCATGCATGGGGCCCATCCAAACAGTTTACCAGCACTGATGATAAATGCACAGTTAGTCTCAGACTGTCACTCATTCACCACAGCCACTGTACTGGTTTCACTTAATCCTTGGGCTCGGGCTGCACCGCTCACCTCAATCGCCGTTTTAGTCATAATTCCTCATTAATACTAGGTGCTTTTTTCAGGCCGCAATTTACTCTGCAATTGAGCTAACAGAATTTAATCCTTTTCTTCCTATTCACTCAGTTCTTCTTCCCTAAGGTTAGTGTCATAGACAAGCATATGGTTGCAAGAAAGAAATACGACAATAGCAGAAATAGATTTACGTAATTTATTTCAATAGGAATGTGTGGTTTTGGGACAGATACCTTTGGTATAGTTCATAGGCCGGCCGAAGATCTGGGTTGATCTCTCATAGTAGTTCTCGCTGGTTGCGTGGTGCTACTGCTGCTGGCTGCTGCTGACCACTCAGCCTGACCGTGACAGGTCTCTTACCTGGCCTCCTGTTGACTGCCCGTTGTACTTCTGTGTGACTTCTTTTATGGCGTTTTTTTATGGCTTAACAAGCTCAAAAAACGATGCGAGTATAATTAGGAGGGAAGCATTTTTATTGGTCGAAAAATAGAAACACTTTAAAATATTATTTTATTTTTCGACCGGAACACATACGTCGGGAACATGCGTAAACGAAGTTACTGGTCATTTTGTGATGGGGCCTTGTCCCGTTCACATCCAGCTCTCGCTCTTGAGTATGTTAGTTTATTTGTCTGTAAATCAGCCGAGATATGTCTTTTATTTTATGACAAGGCTCCCCCAGATCTCGGTCTGATTTACAGTGAGCATTATTCGTGTATATTGGGAGGATTAATTCATGATAAAGTC